TGATACTCAACGATCGATCTACACGAACTCAAGGCCTTGCGAAATGTTTGAAATGAATATTTTGATTTCTAAATGGATCCTCAATCTGTTCAAAATTTTCTCAAAATGGTGCGAGAAGTGCATGCTCTTATAGCACTACTGTTTTATGGAATAAAATATGTAAGTAAGTAGTAAAGCGAGAAAGTAAAATGATTTTGAAAGGACTGAATTTGAATGTTACTGAAGAAGTAATAGCTGCAATTTAAGGTTTCGTGTCTCAAATCCATAAACGATTCGACATCTAAGGAAAAATGACAGCAATTGTAATGATATTTATTTCATAACAGAGTCAGGCATGGCTTTTAATTCCATGTACCCAATGTACGGTTTGCTCAAATATCGCATGCAAATTTGACGGTATCAGGGGACGAGATGAATGGCAATGCTTCAGCAGTAAAAGCAGTGTCCCTTGAGGAACTCGGATCGGACCCGGATGCCTCCGGCAACAGGACGCAACACGCACGGGACGTTTCAGGGCCGACAACACCACGCGCTCAGGCACTTGCAAGTACACAACCCGGCCTCCCAGCGAACAATGCAAATAATTTTCTGTGCATTCATTCGATAAATGCAGAAAATTGTGATTATTAACCGCTTGGGTAAGTACGAGGACAGGTTTTACAGCACTAACGAATGATTTCCGAACGCACTCCCCCGTACCCACGGCTCTTTCGAGGAATCGAACGACCTTAGCTGCGACAAGGCAGTCGAGAGGGCGGCGGCCCCTCAGCCAACATCCTCCGCTTGAGTCGGGCCGCGAACGCCTTTGACTCACTCAGCGGAATAGATTTTGGGGGAGGGGGCGTCCTGCGCGATGGCATCATCTTCGATCCCGACCTCCTGGTGCGTTCTAGTAGTCGCGCGCACGCCCTCGCGGCGCCAGTCGGTTGCGGAGACTTCCGTTGCCACCCGAGGGATGCAAGGTTCATGTCCCTGTTTTCAGAACATGTTTTTATACAAGCAGCCATGTTTATGTTTTCGGTGTTTTCTTTGTGAATGAAAAATATCCATAATCACGATTTTGTAAAAGTTACAATATGAAATAATCACTGTTAGCACCACTCCGAATGTGTTTGAAGGATTTCCTGTCGCTCCTCATATTGCGGGCTTGGAGAGGTCAACACCCGAGCCACAGCTGTGCCGTGGGCGCAGGACCTGCAGTTCCCCTGTACCTTCTTCGGAGAACTGAGCATCGTCTCATCCTTCGAGTTGACCATGGGCGATTAGGGCCAGTTTTGTCTATTCTTGTTGTTTCTGAACTTTATTTTGCGTTACAACTTCTTATCCTGCGCGTGGAACTACACAATGCGGCGTCTCGCACACAAGCTTCCATCATCCCTTCTATGATATGACGATCTCTCATTGTCTGTTCTACGCCAGCATATCATGTGTCTTAGTCTTCCTCTCTCTCTATGCATTGGCACCGGCCACCTCCAAGTCTTTTTGAAATTGTTTTTAAGACACATTTTCCACATTTCGCATTTAATTTCCTTAACATACAGACTGGAATATTTATTTTCCTACTTAGGTATACATGGAAAATTTCCGGTAGCAGCGTTTTCTAAGTATTTACTACAAATACACAACACGAACAATCAAAGAAACATTACAGTATTTATGTATTACTTAATACAATTTTACAAGATTAGTATATTAAACCAATCATGCTAAAACTGATTAAAATAACAATAATAATTTTAAAAAAATAATGTTATCGTATTGTAAAAAAAATACAATTTATTTAATCTAATTTTAAAATGTTTGACATACTGAGGGAAAGCCTCCAGCAGTGTTGCAGTCAATTCTTTCCAATTTTGTATTGTTCTATTTACAAATGAGAATTTACCTACATCTGTTCTCTGTTTTCTTTGTACATCGTCTCCGTCCTCTCCGAATATCACTTAGTCATCTGCAAAATCGAGTGAATATAACTTATGATCATGTTACAATTTGATTCTATACCGGGAGAGATTGCTCTGTGCGTCAGCTGGTGTCTCTAGAATCCCTCTAACCGAGTTATCCTAGGTTGGAGTCGCGTCTGGGACAGGTTTTGCGACCCTAGATTGTCAGAGCTAGGTCGAGTTCAGTCGCTGTCTGCAGATGATTCTAGCGGCCGGCTGCTCTTAGCGGGAGTTAGTCTCCACGGTTTCTCCGATCAACACCAGGCGAAGGCTGGAGCAATTCCCTACCCAACGGGCCACAGAGCGCTCGCGATCCTTCCTCTTCCTTGTCCTATCCTCGCCCCTCTCACATACTTGAACTAACATGCACTACACATGCTGGCAGACTGGACGGGAGCATATAGCTTGTCCCGGCTGGTGAGAGAGTAGGTCTGCGCCGGATCTCGCCATACAGCGGGGGAAGACCATCACCACCTCCCGAGCAAAAACATACACTACACACACGGGATTAATGACCCTAGTAGTTGACATGCCCGGAGTCACTAACAATGAATCATCCCATTGGTTGTAAAAGAGAGGCGCGCGCAGTGGCCAATGCGAGTGTGCTGTTGCAGCGAGCGCGCTGGTGCTGGTTGTGCCGGTGGGGGCGCTGCTGGCCGGTGGCGCCATGGAGTGGCTGGGCCGCCTCAACACCGTGGCGGCCGCCGCGCTGCCCTGCGCCGCCGGCTGGGTGCTGATCGCCACGGCGCCCGACGTCACCTCCATCCTCATCGGCCGCCTGCTCACCGGCGTCGCCGCAGGTCAGGCCAAACAAGGCGCTCGTCACAAGGTCGCGCACGAAAGTGGGAGCTGTTGTGACGTTGCAGTCTATCTTCTCCCTTTCTCGTGCGTGACCTTGGGTCGTCATGTTAAGAATATCGAAGTATAGTAAACGAACTACAGACTTGTTTTACTTTGAAGTAGAATGCAAATACGTTTTCTTTATCTCGGGAAAGAAAAGTTCTAGTTTCTAAATGTCGCTAACATCGTTTGTATGGAACTGGGTTTACTTTTGCTGACTTCCACGCTGGATGAGGAGATCCGCCCCAGCCGACTCAAGCTCTGGGCTCCCGACTAGTCTCCGAATAAGTGTGGTCGTGAAATGCCTGTAAGTGGAAGTTTGTGTAAGTAAGGAGAGAGAATATGACAAGGAAGGAGGAAAGATCGCTGGCGGTTCCTCGCCAGTTCGTTAGCATAGAGCTCCGGTTCATTGGAGAAACCGCGGATAACTCCCGATCGGAACAGACGGCCGCTACAATTTTCCTTAGTGTCGGAAATCCTGCCACCGTCGGGATTCGAACACTATGGCCTCGCGGTCTGAGGTGCTGCGCTGACATCTGGTGGTGTGAGGAGAGTGATCTTATTCCGCCAGCAGGTCCATCACATGCAAGCTTGTTTACATTCTCCCAGACTTAGATACACCAGACAAAATAATTATTGACATCACATGTTGCTACCTTTATTCATAATTTACTTAGTATGATAATATATCTAGGGTAGGGATTTCGGAGTTTAGGAAAATATGCACATATAGCATTTCTCTCTGGTATGTCACATACTGTTATTTTCGCGTTAAATAAACAAATGTATATTAAAAAAAAGACTTCAGTGTACACCGAAAAAAGAAAATTATACACCTGTAATGGGCAGTTGCTTCAACCCATTTAATTTGCTGTCTTTGAGTTTCCAGGAAGCTTCTCCAAAAATCCAATTTGTGGACGAAACCTTTACATGCACGAAGCGTCACGTTCCAAGGAATTTGGGTATCATGTTCCACCTAGTCACCACCGGCCCTTCGAAACTGAACAATGTAATGCATTTTCGCAATGCGTATCTCAAAATTCACATCCTCCTTTACTAAGAGGTGACAATGTTTGTAATGCGACAGAAGAACACATATCGATGTGCCAGACAACATCAGCAATGACATACTGCGATCTTTGAGATTATAAGAGGATTTAGAGCATTTTATATCTCATTGTCGTGTCGTAGGGTTCGAGCCCCAACAAGCTCTGTCCTTCAGTTAGGACGAACACAGCCAGGCTGCCAGTAGTTTCTAGCAGACAGCCGCTCTGATCTCCAGATCTTCGAACAACACCAGGCGAATACATGAAAGCTTCCCTAAAAAACTGGCCACAGACCGCGTTCGTATTTTCTCCTGTTTCTTGAATACTACCGTACATGCACTAGAGTAAGCAATTTCCAGGAGGCCAGTCGGGAGATAAGACCTTGTCCTGGTTGGAGCGATGCTCCGCTGAAAGTCCAACATCCAGCGGGGGAAGCACCCCCTCATCCCCCGATAAAACATTGACTCCAGTAGACGCGCTAGAGGGGACGGATACACACGCGCTGCCTCGCTGTTCGCAGGCCTCGGCACGAGCGCGGGGGTGGTGTACATCACGGAGGTGGCCAAGCCAGAGCTGCGCGGCTCGCTCATCTCCATCTGTCCGTCGCTGGCGTCCCTCGGTGAGTACCCGGTCCACTCTAAGCATCAGCCCTGCCAGCCCCTCGGCCCTGCCTGTTCCCTCTGCCCCGTGTTCCCCAGCACAAGCACAAATTGTCATAAACTTGATGACTCGCGAAAAATAATGTACATAATACGGCAAAAGTGTCTTTCCATAACACGACGAGTACATTGACAAGTTTTTAAAAGGGAAATAAGACCACTTTTTCTTTGTAAAAATATATACAACTTTTGTTATTCTTCGAGCTAACGGTCAATTTAAAAATGAAACTTGTTCAGCTTAATTCTTGTGTGTGTTCTATTGCTAACTAATTCTAATGAATGGAAAGGAGAAAGACTTTTAGCACTAGTTTGTGATCCTTACATAGAACTAGCATTATCAGCTAGGAAACGCCTAAATTTTTCATAACAACAGTGAGAGAGACTGAGGACAGCATAGACTTGGCCGATGTTCAATAATAGGAAAATACATATCACACACATATATATCCATTTCTACCAGAAAAGTTTGACAGATAGCCATAAACGCAAGTAGAAATCGATGATGAGTAGTTTCTGATATTACCAATTTAGTAAGAATATTTTTTCATTTTCCATAGAATAAATCTCTTATGTATGACTGTTTCATAAGTCTAATAATAAAGCAATTTATTAAGAAATTAATATTTCATATTTATTTTATAACGGAAATACGTCCAGGGCGTGAAAACGGTTCTATCACAGAAATGAAAATTTGAAGTTTTAGAGTAGCCCAACCATCAATAATGACTAGTTCTACAGCTTTTGTGTAGAATACATATATCATGGCCCGATGTCAACTGCTAATTTTATTACGTAATTTTGGTTTTCACTATACAGGACAAGGGCTTATTTCCATTTTCATATCACCGATTAAATTATAAATAAAATCCTGTTGTTTGAATTTCCTGAAGTTCCACTATGACAATAAAAACGACAAATAAATGTAATTTCGCTTTATTTTAATTATCCTGTATGGACCTGGTTTCTAAATTATTTGTCTCGAATGTAGGAAATTAATTGCCTGGGAAGCTTGTTAATCTCCGTACTTCACATACTTCAAAGTTGCCATTTGGTTATCAGGGAAATCTGAAGTAGCCGCGAAGCGGTATACACCGGCTAAGCGATGTCCGCCACTTCATCGATAACGTCTCACTCGAGATGATCACTCTCGCATGTGACTGCCCCAATCACGCGCTCCTCAGTTAACTGATCGGAGGACGCCCTGATAGACCTCACGAGCGGAGGGGGGGGGGTAGATACCTCTACCATGGCCATAAAGATTGCTGACACATTATAGCAGAACACAAAATAATTGCTCCCAATTTTAGGCTCTATTCTGTCTAAATACAAGCCGTGTATCCAAATTTTAGGCTCTTGCTGTATTCAATATTTGATATCACAAATGCTCCTTGGTTTGTTACAAACTCACAACTCCACAAAGAATTCCAAATGGACTCCGTACAGCACCATATAAAGTATCTCTCCACCCAGTTCTATCATTCCATACCTCAAATTCCTCTCCTAGCCAACTTCACACTCTGGAAAACTCTTTCTCACAGAACCAGAATTAAAAATTGATATTCATAACATGCATTAATAGTCAAATTTTCCGAAATACGTTGTTTTTAGAGGTGTCTGCAAAAGATTTCCTCGCCCAAATTAGTTTGTGGTTTATTTTTAGGTAAATTAGAATGTAAGCCTTCACAACATATGTAAAGTGCATTGAAAATACTAATCTATGTATGCTCTGTAAAAATAAAATAAATAATAAAAAAGATATGGTAGATCTTGGTAATTGCTGAAGATGCGAAATTGTCCCAAAAAATGAAAAAAAATGCGATCGTAAATTGACGGTCGGTGCACTATATTTCTGAAGATTTTCAATTTGCGTTGAAATACGAAAACGCTCGCAAGATGCAAAATCACATAAAAAGTGCGAAATGCACATAAAAATCGTGAATCTGTGATATAATACTTGCATCGCATTTTATTGTTTCCTTCGTGTTCGCTTTCTAAGCAGGAATGAGGCATCGAATGCAACACAGCAATGTTTGAAAACATTTAATTTGAGAATTGTCGTTTTTGCAAATTTATAATCATGATTTAATTGACAAAACAAAGTAAAAAAAATAATAAGAACAATTAAAAACTGATCTGAAAGGAACTCGGCTTCCTCAGTTCGCCCTGCTTAGGTCGTCAGAAGGTAATGAAGGCCCTTCGCCTACGGCGCACGCCTTATTTTTTACGCTCCTCACGCTTTGATATTTGTTGAAGTTCACAAATGGGGATATATCAAATTAGTCGTTCTTGCGATCTCAATTATGAGAAATCAATTAGGGGTCCTTGAGAGTTACACTTTCCCCCGCCTCCACACGCACACCCTGGCCCGATGGCTGGCCGTGGGGGGCGGGGGCGCTCCCCCTGCTGGCCGCTTGTGATGCACATCCACGGAGCGACGAGGGCGGCATGCCGAGACGACGTGCGCTGAGCTTTCCTTAGCCTGTTAGGACGGTTGTTTAGTAGTGGCACACCGTTTCAGGGTCCTCCCTGACTAACAATTGCCTCGCAATGCGCAGGGATGCTGATCGTGTACGGCGAGGGCGCCGTGGTGGGGTGGCGCGCCGCCGCCTGGACCAGCTTGGCCTACGTGCTGCTGCCGGTGCTGCCCGTGCTGCTGTGGCTGCCCGAGAGCCCCTCGTGGCTGGTGGCCAAGGGCCGCACGGAGGACGCCGAACGCGCGCTGGCCTGGCTCACCGGCAAGCAGGTAATAAAAAGCTCCATACTCCAAACTGGTCCGGATAAAGTGCACACATGCACAAGTGTACTACGTCAGGTAGCTAGGGTAGGTCAAGTATACGTTACAGTGACGGGAAGTGTCGGGTATTAAGTGATAGCACGGATGAGACTGCTGTTGGGAAGTTTCTTAGGGTAGAAAGAGATAAGGTGGTTTCGAGTCCCACTGCATCAGTCATAGCTTTCGATTTGCACGATATGACCTGACCTAACCAAACGTACTAGTCAGTTGGCGCTTCGATCTGAGCGCCAAGGGTGCAGCCTTTCATACACTTCGTCAACAACTTCGTCTCTGCAACGCACCATTTTAAGCATTTGTAAACCAAAATGTTTCTCGCCAACACACAACATAACTCACAATCTTATTTTAGCTAGAGCTAGATGGATAATGTCAACACGGGACGGATGATGTCCGAAATAATACGTTGATTGCCATTCATACAGCTTTATCCAAGCAGTCCGGCTGATGTACGATTTCACCAGCTATTGTAATTTTTCGGAATTAAGATGTAACATATCCTTCTTTTGACTTGAACACTACATATCAAATTTATTATTTTAAGGTTTAGTATTTATTCGAAACGCTACAGAATACTCGTATTTTCTTAATTCTAATTTCCAGTTTCAATAATAAACATTAATGAACAAAATAAACAAAAGTCATTGGATCAAATAAACAAAGTCCACATTTGTAGTATTTGCTAACAGTGTTGTACTGACCATCTCCCTGAACCTTCCTTCTCCTCCACTGGTTCGAGTTCCGGCGGCGGAATTTTCGACACGAGCTACAAAATTAGATCGAATCTGGAGGAAAGTCCTAGCGGTCGGGCTACTTTCATTGACTGCTTTCCTCGGTTTCCGCGATCAACACCAGGCGAATGCCAGAGCACTTCTCTCACAAACGGACCATGGACCGCGCGTGGTCATTCCTTTCTCTTTCTGGTTCTATCTTTCCTACACTAACACGTACATGCACTTCATGACCACACATGTCGCGAGACCAGACAGGAGAGTAGATCTTGTCCTGATTGACGCGGTGCCCCACAGGTAGGAAATACCTGGATGGGGAAAACCTCGCAAGCCGACGTGTAGTTCTACGCAACGTATTAATGCTTTTAAAGTTATTTGGAAGGGTGAAGCAAAGAGCACTACCCATTTCACCACCCGGTCTCAGTAAGTTGAGCGATTGCACAGGAATACGTCCCCCTTCCGCAGTTGACATCTACAGGAGCAACGAGACCTACGACAAAGAAAAATATAAATGGTTTGTGCAACCCCACAGCAACGTAGCGGGATCTAATTGTAAATTAATATATTTAAGCGCTATGTTCAAACACACTGTTTACTTCTTCCTCCACCCATCGATTCAATGCACAAAATCCATTTTTTATGATAACATGACGATAGTTAACTAATTAATTTTGAAAGTAAATGAGAATATAATATTTTAAATACAACGGTAAATTGTTGTTTCCTCTTTAGCCTATCCATGTATGTAACTTTCGTCTTAAACTTTCCATACAGTTACAGACATAATGTGAAATGAAACATGTTGACTTGCAGTCCTTGCGTCTCCTTGATTCGCAATGTATTAATTTCCACTTCATTTTATTTTATATACATTTTTTAATTTGCGCGCAACTAATAATTCTGCCAAACTTTTAGATCGATTCAGCAGATGAAGATAGCATATTGTCGAAACGTAATTTTTTTTAAAATATATAAATATTGGTATGAGTTACTAAAGCAAACGTAATACGTAACTAAAAGTTATAATACACGATCTTTAATACTAATTGGTCATTAAATATGCCTAACATTATAATCTTGTAGACATTAAGGCACAATAAAGACGATGAGCAACACGAGGTGGCGCCCATTTATTTTTTCATTAAGATTTCTCTAATTTTAATCATTCCTAATGTTCTCTATTGCTTCAAAACGAACTGTGCGAGCTTACCACTATGAACTGATATACGTATGCGACATACTGGAACTATTACTATTATTAAAAACCTACATCTGCCTTTGTACACCTCATACTCACATTTTCAATACTTCTTGCTTTTCAGTGCTTCAAAAATTAAATTAAAAATTACTCTTTGTCAGTCTTCTGAAAAATCAAAAAAAGAATAGGCTTTTCTGTATGCAAAGAGAACCTTTTGTCAGGAAAAACGTAGCGTTTCCAGGTTCTCAATGTGAATTTAGAAAATCAAAATCTCAGGAAACTGCCATTTATTTTTCTTAATGATGTTGCTTCATCAGTGGATCAAAATTAAGCACCTATTTTTAAATCTTTCGAAAGATTTTGACACCTTCCTCTTCTTTTTCTATGTTAGCCGCCTCTCACTACCACCTAGCGCCAAAACGTGTTCTTTTAATTTTATTTTTTCGTTAATTTAATATTATAGTACCTGATTAAAAAATATGGGAAATAAGAAAATAATGAGTACTATCAGAAAACTTTTTGATATTTTCTAGGCATAAAATTCAAAAGCAAAAGAAATTCTTTTTGAAAAAAATAATAATAAAAAATAACGCAGTACCTGAACAGCAATTCTGTAATGGCTGTCGTCCTCTTTCTTTGGGCTTCGCTGTCACTCGCAATCAGCTGTGTTGTAAGTAGTGAGTATTCAGTCGATACGAGAATATGCGAAGAAAATTCAATATAATATTTCAATTTTCCAGTCAAAATGGAAACTGCTTAATTCCGTTTCCGTTTTACGCGAGCTCTGGCTATCTAACGCCACGTCAGACCCCCTCGCATGGCCGGAGGATGCGCTGAGTCGCCAGCGGCAAAGTGGCGTTGCGTGTTGCAGGCGGCGGCCGTGAAGCAGCAGGTGGCCTCCATGGTGAAGTCGCAGGACGTGCGCGCAGCGCCAGCCAACACTATGCGCGTGCGCCTGGACACCTTCCTGCAGCCCTGCGGCTACAAGCCGCTGCTCATCCTCTTCGGCCTCTTCCTCATCCAGCAGTTCTCGGGCATCTACATCACGCTCTTCTACGCCGTCAACTTCTTCAAGGTGGGCCTTTCGGTTTATTGCGCGACGTGTTGCTGCTTTGCTATCCGAGTGAGTGCGGGCCGTGGAACGGCCACAGGGAAGGGGTTGCCCGCGTCTTCGCCCCGGAAAAGAGGAGGGACGGCTGGTGGGGCGGGAAGGGACCGGTTTCACCAACCACGATCAAATTCGTAGTTGATCCGAGTTTCGTGATCCTGATCCGCGGAGTCAAGGCCGACTTGATCCCTGTGCGTTTCACCAACGTTTTGAGACTTCGAAGTTAATCCGGATCCCATGATTCGTGAGCAGTCGTGAAAAAGCGTGGTTGGCAACAATTTTGCAATGCATTGTGGGTATTCTCGCGGTCAGCTGTAGGGAACAAGTTGTTTTGATTTTATTTTGTTCCGTCTGTGTGGTGTTCTGTTGCATGTGGTAGTGTTATTGTTCGGTGATGGATTCACCTGACGTTGGAAAGAATGCATAGACGACGCCCAATTTCTCTCCAGTTGAAAGAGAATTACTCGAAAGCTTAATGAGCAAATACAAAGAAAGTTTTAATGCTCGTTCTGACATTTCAAAATAATCGCATCTTTTGGGAATTACTCGTGCTGTCTTTCCCCACAATAAATCTTCAATGACTTCATTAATAAATAATAATAATAATAATATTTATTGAGTCACATTCGAAAACAAACTTGATTTTTACGACATAAATTAATCTAACAAGAACAAAAATTGAAAGTATTACTACATTAAAAAAAGTATTCAATAAAACCATCCCACGCCAATTGCAATACAGATATCAGAAAATGCTATTTTACTAATGAAAATTACACTCATTTGAATCCCAAATATATTTAAATTTTACTTCCCAATTCCGAGAATTCTAATCTACAATTCTGTTAACCCTACTTTTATTTACAATACTACCTTAAAAAACACATTTGCTCAACAAATATTACGCACAATCCTACTTCGTAGCGAATACTTCCATACTGAATCTAAGTCCAACTACAGGTTTTTACTTAAAAAAATACGGAAAACTGGAATAGGTACCACCAAGCCAAGAAATAACTTCTGATCTGGCCGTGATCCACCGCTTGGCGACGGATCAATTGCGTGGAGAAACGAACTACGGGATCAAACTGAAGTTGATCCGGATCAACTGGGGATCATCATCTTGATTCCGGTTGGTGAAACCGGCCCTTAGGGTTAAACATGAGACGCACAAACGCGGACGGATCAAACGTTCACTATCAGTACTTCGATTTTTTAACGTGGCGTCTCAAGGTCACGCACGAAAAAGTGAGAGGGAAGGCCGACTCCAATAGCGAGCCGTGAAAGTGCAGCTCCCGATTGGAGTCTGCCTTCACTCTCCGTAATTCGTGCCCAACTTGAGACGCCACGTGAAAAAATCGAAGTATAACAGTGCTGCAGAAATCGTAAACTTCGCGCACGAGCGCTCGCTCGCGCTTCTGTCCGCGAGTGGCAGTGGGGAAGTGAACTTCGCTGCACGAGGACTCAGTGCTGTGCAGTAGTTCTCTTCACAGATCGCTCCGCACTCATTTACATTCTGTCGACGTGCGTTGTCAGATCGGATGAGATGCCAAATGACTGTTGTTCCACACCAACGCTGCAATTTCATTAATTTAATTAATCCTCTTTGGAAAAACATAATATTTATTCTCAGAATACGGGGAATGGCAAAAATTTTTAGTTTTTCATAAAACATTGAGCAAATTGAAAAAGTTCAATGCAAGCATAAAGAGAGGTGCAGAAACGTAAAGAAAAAAAGCTTGTAATAGAGGACCATTAAGAAGAAGAAAAATCTAACAAGGCTGTATGTTTGTTTCAGCTACAAAATCGCACTGCTTTTAGAAAGATTATTGCATCCTTTCACAGATGGAGGCATGATAAAAGTGTTGCTGAACAGTTATGCCCTGCTAAAGTTCAATAGTTTCTGCAATTCCACTACCGATGCACAAATTCCTTCGATATGCGATAAGGGATGAAAGATAAGAGCCCAAATCTATATCTGGTTTGCCATTGCAAATAGTTTTTATTCACTGGAACGAATATTTTCTTATTAATTCACGCCAAATATGCTCATTTCCTTTTGTATTCAAAATTCCACTTGTATTTGGGATCTCAGAATTCAGAAAACGTGCTCACAATACACTTCTCTCAGTACCACATCCCACTCGGTTTTAACTGTTATTGTCGCTAAATAAATAAACAAACAAAACTAAATAAATCCCCAGAATGTATGGCCCGTTGTATGCAAAAAAAATTGTTTTGTAAAGAGTTAAGGTTTGTAGCTTCAACAAATGTGCGACTTCAAAGCACTGGTGAGTCTGGGAGACAAAAAGAAGTCTGCGTCCGTTTTCGACAGAAGGGGAGTTCTGGTTTGTGGTGCACCACAGCGCCCGCCCCACCTTGCGTTGCCAGTGAGGAGGTTTTGGGCCAAGCACGAGGTCGTGGCGCCGCATCATCCGCCATACTCTCCTGACTTCTTTTTGTTTCCCAGACCTGATCAAAGGAACACGCTTTGTGGATGTTGAAGACATGAAGAAGGACGTGACGTGGACATGGAAGAGCCTTCGGACAGAGCAAAGTCTTTAAAACTTGTTTCCACAACTTACATAGCCGAGTGCAGAAGTGTATACACAGATGGGGATTACTTCGAAACATATTAAAAGGTTACGTTTTTCACATCATCTGTTCTGGTGTTACTGGAGCAGTCCTGGAAATGAATAGCCACACCGTGAACTAAGTAATCATCCGTGTGCGATTGTTGATTGTAAGAATTGTAAACCTGGTTGGACAGCTCTGGTGAAGATCTGTCGCAAGTGGCGGGTTTCAGTCAAGTCAGATTGACAGAGCAAAAACTGGGCGAAGGGCATGCCGCTGATTTTATGGCATGAAAGAAAGTTGCCCGTCACGCCACTTGGGCGTTTGCGACGAAATTAAGGGCCGTATTCGTAGTCGACACTTATACCACAAGTAAACGCTTAAGTACTAAGCATTTACTGAAAATAAGTGAACCCTTATGACAGTTTCGTATTCATAGACCACACTTATTCGAGAGTCGCACTCAAGCAATATTTCGCTACATAATATTTGGCAACATTGCTTTGTTGGTTTCTAGATACGAATCTAGAAGGCCGTGTCCATCTTGTTTACAATTTTGGCAGTTCTTTTAAGCGTATGAATAGCATCTGGTTTCATCGACAGACTATCAATTATATCAAACGATATTATAAATTTCGTTTCGTTGCTTCAAAACGTTAAGTCCTGTGTGTATATTTTCTATTAGTAAAATGTTTCCAATTTTGCGTGATTATTAAGTATAATTATTGATGTACGATATTTGTGCAACTCATGAAAGGAGTTTTATGAACTTTTTAATATTTCTTGATACCGCTTCAGATATTTCTGTAATGATCCTACAAACTGAGGGCTGACTTATTCTATAGACATCTGCAAATATCAATTTAAAAAATTGTAAAATGAAAACACTTTTTCGTATGATGTATTATGACCATTTTTGGAAGATACGAGTAACCTATAAAATTTGATCTTCGTAGGATAACCTACAAAATAGGTAAATAATAAATAAATTACGTAACTGAAATTATGATGTTGCATAAAATCTCTATGCCATTAGCATTTTTAGGACTGGTGGAAATGGTTATCCTCTATTCCTCAACAGATACAGTAATGTTTACAATCGAATCCTTGTCAAAACGATATCTTAGATTCTTGTTGTCTACGAATTTCCAAAGGGCTTTCCATGTCTCTCAAAAATCGTTTTGGTATATGATCTACCATATTGATTTCAATAATTCCAAAAACGCATAAACATATTTTATGTTATTCCACATTGAAAAATAAGGATCCACTTAAGGATACATATAAGCTCACATATAAAAATAAGCGAATGCTTAAGCAAACACGTAAATGACAACTATGAATTGAAAATGCGAATAAATAAACACTTAATGGTTCCTCAAAAATAAGTGTTGTCTATGAATACGGCTCTAAATCCTCCGCAAAGTCGATTTGACGACTCAACAAAGCTGGAAGGGTAAAAAATCAATAGCTACGAAAGAAAGCCTGGTAGCCCTTGACTAGCTGGTAGACACTGCGTCCTAGGTATAGTTACGAACGTTTCGACAGTCATACTGCGACTTTCCGAAGCCCATCGCCCTGAGGAAGGTCGCAATATGACGGCCGAAAGGTTAGCAACTATTCCTTGGACGCGGCGTCTGGAGAGCAGCCACGTATCTACCGACGCGGACCGCGAAAACTATCACTGCCAGTCCTCGAGCGTGTGAGTGGACCCTCAGCGCTAAGACGCTCCTGGAGGTACATGTGCCCTCGGCCCTTCTTCATTACATCAGCGCTCAGCTGTGAAACAAACCGAAGGTCTGAATAAAATACGAATAGGATAAAATAAGAATAGATTAACTAAAGAATTAGGATAAAAAGATAACAATAAGGACAAAAGATGAAAATAAGAATAAAAGAATATAATAAAAGAAAAGAAAAAGAAAATAATGTTTGTGTTGAGTGCGGAGGGGGCGCTAATTGTCGCGTACTTCGCGCTCTATCGATATGACTCCCAGGACACGATCAGACGCTAATCGCTCTTATCGCTCACGAAACGTTTCCGCTCAGTTCACATCGCTATCATCACTTGCGACATTGTTCTACAAGTCTTGCTTCTGATTCTCTGTGGCGCAGGTCCCGGCACTGACGTGGTAAACGTGACGACGAACTGTCTGGCATCCCTATTGTAGCTCCCTTGGTAGTGGGACAGCGCACAAGCAGTGAGGACGCATGGCGGCGTGCGAGCCCCGACTGCGGCGCCGCGCCGAGTGGAGTAGTTGCCTGCAGGAAGCCGTCCTGCAAACTCGAAGTTTGAGGCGAAGGCGAAGTGAGTGGATGAAGAAGTTCATTCAAGGAGATATCATCACTTCCTTCTCGCAATGATATTCTTTTATGGCGATGTTATAGAATGCCAAGACATTATTCCAGCGTGTACATTCCAAGTCAAGTTCATCCTTGGGAAAGCAAATAATAAAAGCGAGGAAACCAGTTAGTGTGGAACAAACGCTTATGTAGGTCTACCAGTTAATATTTTGTAATATGATATACAATCCTCAATGTTAATTTTTCTTTTCGAATAAGCCACTTGCACTACGCTTATTCAACTTTCTGCGCCTTCTTCGTTCTTTGCTTCCATATCTCTTTCATTCTGGCTCGACGTTTCTCTTTCCTCTCCTCAGTCCAAATAGCCCATTTTCTTTTTTGGCTTGTCCTCAAATCGTGTGAATTTCTTGAGTTTGGTGCTCATTGAAGACCTCTTAGTACTATCTGCTGGTGTAATTTTTAGCTATTCCAAGGCCTTTTCAACTTCTTTAAAGCACGTATTGGTCATATTTAATTTTGTGAAATAATGTGTCATGTAATAATAATGAAATTATTATAATTAAAAAAGTTATACATAGTGGAATCTATTAACGTTGCGTTTACGCTAAAAATAGGCTCCCGACAGTTCTCGCGGCATGTGTGGTAGGGTAGTACATGGTAGTGTAAGCGTGTGTAAGTAGGGGGTGAGGTTAGGACAAGCAAGAGGTAGGTAAGAGAGCGCGGTCCGTGGCCCGTTTGTTACGGTACTGCTCCGACATTCGTGTTGTTGATCGGAGAACCACGGAACTAGCGACTAGAGCAGCTCCTCCAGAGAGCGACAGAATTTGGCCTAGCTGACAAGCTAGTGTCGCAAATCCTGCCACCGTCCAGACTCGAACCCCGTGCCAGAGGCACTCAAGCCATCGCTCCCGGTCTGTGCCCCATGCTACCTCACACGTCGGGAGATGAGGGGGCTTAGAGCTGGTCCCGGCCGGTGCTAGAGCTAGAAGAAACAAATGCGCGCAATTCCACGAGTAGGTAAGCACCGGGTCTCGCCGTGTGTTTGCAGGACGTGGGGTCGTCGTTCGACCCCCGCCTGGCCACGGTGCTGGTGGGCGCGGCGCGCTTCACCATGAGCCTGTGCAACACGGGGCTGCTGAAGCGCTTCGGCCGCCGGCCGCTGTGCATGGTGAGCGGCCTGGGCATGGCGGCCTGCATGGGCGTCTCCGGCTACTTCACCCTGCACCTGCGCAACGGTAAGGCTGTGCCCCTCACGCTTCTCCATTCTCTATTATTATATTATAGAGTTGATTTGTTGTTTTTTATGTCATTTTGATTGATGCCAAAATAATTGTAAATGAAATTTCGAGCACGTAGGGCCACCGACCGTGCCGAACCTGTGCCGACTTGCATCGAAACTTCTCAGTAATTGCAGACTCCACCTAAGGCAAGCCGGTGTATCGACGTCTTAGTAAATTACTTGCTAGTTGTTCGTATACGCGTCGTTTCAAATAGTCAACAACATGGCAGTGAGATTACTTAGTTCTCAAAAGAGTATGTTTTGAATAGTGGACGTGAACTAACAAATAATGCGATCAAAACTTCCTGCAAAAACCTGAGTGATAAAGAGGAAAGGGAGCTTTGGAACTACTGAGGAAAAAAGCTGCGTGCTTAATATTTGTTCGCCCCAACTGCATTGACACCATATTATGAACCGTTAAAAACGATTCATCTTCTTACTCTAATGCAAATATGTATTTGCAAGCAGGTTTGCCAACGTTAACAGAGTTTAGTGGTTAGGCGGAAGAGCAGGCCCTGTGGCCTGAGCCTCACCATTAATAAAGACAAATATCCAATCGGAAAGATTTCGTAACTCCAAAATCAGTAGTAGCGCTTGATAGGAGTCAGCTAAGTTCTAGAGATTCCGTATTTATTTCTGAAGTTCCCTTTGCGAACATTGCAGTGAAGTGGGAAGTGAAGAAGCGTGACGTGCGAATGAATGGGAAGAATGAATGGTTATGTGTATAATGAAACTAGTATGAATGATGTGTGAATGTAGAAAAATAATAATAATATTAATAATAATAATAATAATAATAATAATAACAACCACAATTTACCAACATATGCAAAAACAATTTACGTAGAATATATAAAATAAAATTACAAAAATTACAAAGAAAAAAAAAAGAAAAATGAAATTGAGTCAAGTGACTATATGCCAAGTCCGCTCTTCAAAGGTATTTGCTCGTACCACTCGTCCGTGTAGTGCGAGCGCGTGCAGACGCGGTACTCCCCTGGCACCCACCTCTCACACGGCGCCACGCACGATGCTGAGCCAACAGCGAGGACCGTACTGTTGGCTATAGACGCGCCCAGCACACACACATATCGGCCTCCGGTAGCTCACACGTGTAGCTACTAAATAAATGGCTGGAGGACCACCTCGTACGAGGAAATGAAGAATCGGCCGAAATGACAAAGCGGATAGCTAAATATTAGCTTACTTTATAATGCGTCTTGGAATTTAGTAATAAAATGTAAAACTTACAATCTAAGAAAGGACATGAAAAACAAAAGAATTATAAATCTAAAATCTAAAACATACAAATGCGTGCCGGGCCCGAGTGGTGAATACTAATAAAAACTACATCTAAAACTTAGAGTAGTTTAAAGATTGTAAAATTGAATGATGCAATTAACATGACAAAAATGTCTCGGCCACCGTGGGGAGAGCTGCCGAAACCTCCAGCGGGGCCGCGCGGTGCACTTACGGCCGAGCCGCTGGCTGGGGGAGCTGCACTTCGCGGAACGCGCAAATGAGCTGCGGTAAGCCGCACTTACCAAAAAGTTGTTGAAAGAATCCGCGGTGGCCGGCGGTGCGGTGTCAAAGAGACGGATTTGCGGATAATGGCCTAAGAGAAAGGCCCGCCGCCCGCGAGGGGGATTGTGATGCCAACGAGCGTGCGTAAACAAAAAGCTTCCGAGATAACTGGAAAAGTATCCATCTTGTTAAAATAAAGTGATATAGAGCAAAACGCAAATCGTGTCTGGCTGTTTCCAATATTGGCAATGTGATTCAATACAAGGCAGAACGATTTATTTCTTGAAAATGTCATTGTTTAGTGGCCAGTTGAAAATTACGAGGAGGATAAGGCAGCACTGTTAGATGTCTGCCTGTTTATCGTGACATCCCTCGTCAAGCCATGAATACAATGTATTTTGGCAGTAAAACATCTTAATAGGATGTGTGCTTTTTGAAGTCAATGAAAACTTACGAAAAGATTGATAAAGGCGTCTTGAAGACGTCATTACACAAGTTAAGCCAGCATTTATTGTATTTGTGTCTAGTCACTATTTGACTGTAATGAGGATCAAGAAACCAAAGTAAAATTGGCCGTAAATTTAACCAATGAAAATGTATCAAACGTATGTATGTGGTAAACGGTACACCCCAACGCAAGAAGAACTCGTGGTCTTTTATGCAAGTAAACATCTATGACTTGATTTCGGTCAAAAGCAATTTCTTGTTTGAATGCTTTAAAATTAATGAGAGTTTTCTCTATGATGGTCCTACTTCCTGGTCAAATTATGCTTCGTTTGAAGAAGCTAGAACAAAGGTTTGAACGCATAGATCAATGAATGAATCAACTGAAAACGCGGTCAGGGAGATGCAAGACTTTCATGGTTTTATTACGGTTAAAAAGGAACAGAAACAATTTCATAAGGTTGCGTTCAAGATTATCGAAGATTTATCCTGACCGTAAAATGCAAATTTTGAAAAGAAAAGTTTCGAAATAATATTTTCTAAATATTTAATAATTTAATTTGGACATATTGGTGTACTATTTCCCAAATAAACATTGGTTTCTGTAATACTTCCATATTAACTCAGTACTAACATTGAAGTTAAATGTTTGGCTTAAAGTCGGCACGGGTTAACCTTCTCTAATAGTAATAATATTTATTATTTGAGTTTTTGAGGTCAAACAGAACAATATGGAGGGTATGCGTATATGATTTCGTGAAAACAATTCTCCCTGACGTCGTGGGACACCCTAGTGTACAAAGTGGAATATGGTCTAATGCGGAAAACAATTCGCATTAATCGCGGTTTATTATGTTCGCATACAAATGACAAATACAATTCATGTTTTCGACGCATTCATTTCACTTTCGCTTTGCTCTTAAAAAAATAAAAATTAACATTAACGGAAATACAGTATTTGGATAACACGAGGGGTTCAGATATCATGTAAAAACAAACGAATTCTTCACTTCATGTCTTAACAGTATGACGTATATCATGATTTCCAGATCTACTTCCCAAAATACAAATCATTATTAAGATGTCATAAGACATGCTATAATCAAGAAACATGATCAGGATATTTTAAATTCAAATTATAAAACAAAAGAAATGTGGAATATTGTACAAAATATTACTAATAAACATCAAAACTTGAACATATTGTTTTAAATGATAATGACAAATATGTGATCGATCCGGCAACATTTACTTGTGTCTTCATCCAATATTTTTCGAAAATTGCGCTTGATCTTATAATGGGCCTAAAGCCAAAAAGAATAAAGAAAATCAGTCGTTAAAAAAAAAAAAATAAAATAAAAAAAAAAAAAAGAAAGGAAGAAAGACAGAAACCGACTCGATGTTTGATTCTGAAACTTCTTCACATGAATTTCTCAAAATGATCGGTGAACTGAAAAATAAACATCTTGCCGATTTATCTGAATTTTCGCATTGTTTGTTAAAGACCTGTGTGTCTGCCATTACCCATACCCCCGTTAACTCGTATATTTAATGAATACTTATGCGCCACAATATTTCCAGGTAATTTGAAAAGATTAGGCCGCTCTTAAAGAGAAATAAATTCAAAATTACCGGCTAATTTGCCTTTTGACAATTTTCTCAAAAATATTAGAGACTTTTTTTACGTACGAATGGAAACATTTCTTAGTAAATACGAAGCGTTTTCGGATTGTCAACATGGGAAAAAAATCAAAGTCATGTTCGGGAACAATCATGTTCTTTTCTTGAAAATGCCGCTTCATTACTGGATCAAAATGAAATCCCTATTGGAATATTTTTAGATATTTTAAAACTATTTATCGTCGCTGACCATAACCTTGTATTCATTTACTCGGTCCCTTACTGTACTTAAGCAGTCATTTGCAACTTGTAATACACATTCATAAAAATGTAATTATAAAATAAAATTCGTTAAAAAATAATGAATTGAATTGAATAATGATTGAAAATTGAATAAAATTCAATAAAAACTTCATTTGTTACTTATATTTCATGAAACTAATTTCTTGAAAGTTTTTTTTTCTTCATACAATTGTTAAAATGGCCAATTTAATAATATGAAATTTAAAATGTGTACTACATTAAGTCTAAGACAAAGTTTCGGGGACTTTTTTCTCCAGGTCCATCTTCAGGTCATTCCTACGAAAAAGATCCCTATTGTGATGTACAGAGTGTCAGCATTACAACGTTAGAGGTTTGGTGCGGCGGCTCCACTGATGTGCTCGGCGAATGGTCGCTTCCTTTGAGGTGTGCGAAAGACCGACACACCGAATGTTCGTCGCTCAGTAAATTTACTTCGATTTTTTATAGTGGCATTAGGTCATTGTTACACCCTTGCCTTATAAAATGAATCTTTTTAATTAATTCGCGGATGTTTTTCTTAACGAGGCTCGTCGCCTCAGAAATGTGCTTACCGCTGTTGAAAAGATTCATTTTATAAGTCAGGAGATGTAACAATGGCCTACTCTAATAGATGTAATGGCCCACTATAGAAAAGTTCCAGTATAGTAAGCAGCCCATCCTCACTTCTCGGGATTTGATTGCATTCGCTCGCGACTCGCGGAATTCTGAAGGTGTGGAAGCGTCTTAACAGGCGTGGACGTGACAAAGTCTATGATCATAACATTTTACTTTTAAAATTATATTTGTAAGCAATTCATGGTATTGCTCTAGATTGGTTATGTTTGTACTTTTAAAAACTGTATATACCGTACTGAAATGGTGACACATAATTTATTCACATTTCCGACGCATTGGCAAATGCACAAGGGGTCCCAGATTTTAGGGGGATATTCTCTTCTTAAACTTCTATTTTTCTTTCTGTCTGCCTTGCCTCTCCCTTTTTCGTGCATGACCTTGAGACGCTAGGTTAAAAAAAATCGAAGTATACTATACGTAAGAAGAAATATTTACATAATTTTTACTGATGATATAAATATTATTTGTAATAAAGAAAAAGATAATATATTTTGAATTGGTTGCATAAATAACCAATTAATAGTATATGAAGGAAGAGCGTTTTAAATGCAGTTTTCTATTTCAAATAAACAATTGTACACTCCACTGAAAATGTATGATGTGTATCTTTGGGTCTCAATTCAATCAATCCTGAGAACGGAACGTCTATTTGAATAAATTGAACACAAAATTTAAATTCATTGTTCAACGAGTCCAGAATTTTTTCAATTTCACTCGATCTTCAGACTGTTCGTTGCCTTTATTCCCGCAGCTTGAGATATTCCTTTTAATGCCCATTTTTACATGTATGTAACATTTTTTTAAATTCTAGATTGACACATTGCGTCTCGAAGCCCCTTTGGGGTCATTCGGCGCTTTGCACTTGGGAGAAATCCTCCATTAAGAATCGCGCTTGGGAGTAAGCTTCCATTAACATTATCTGTTATTACATGTCACGTCTTGTCGCAGTCAGTTGTCAAGAGGACCGCCAGGTAGCACCTCCGCGTACGCGCCTCTCATCAAACGCTCCTGCGTCTCTACCCAGCGGCCAGATTTGGGAAGGACAGGGTGTGGTTTATGACGTTTCACAAGGGCTGGACTAGCCCCTGTGAAGCACGCAAACTCTTTTTGTTTGAACAAAGTTCACATGAGCTTGTCCGGGAATTGACCCCGGGCCTCCTTGGTGAAAGGCGAGGCGGGTGCGAGGAAAGACTGTGCTCTGGGCCACGAACGCCATCTCTGGTCATTGCTGGTTAACTCTTCACCATCACGTTTTGGAATCATTACCAAAATCTGACTAATTTGTTTTGCAACTTTTATTATTATTATTATTATTATTATTATTATTATTATTATTATTATTATTATTATTATTATTGTATATTTTGTTCTTACATTATTCACATAGTATCTACTGTTCGTTGTCAACCACACACAGGTATGATGACCAGTTTCTGTTGCTTTACTGAAGGTTTCTAGGATGGCTTCTGACATAATACGGACACGTGTATTCAACATATTACAGTCTTTTGCATATTTATACATTCCTGTATCCAAGTGAAGACACTGCCATGCCCGAAGTGTCATTTTCGGGATCACTCCCGTAGCTTGATATTTAGGGCCTAGAAGGGGACAAGTGCGTCCTTTACTTTGAGTGTTCCACTGAGTGTGCGACTTCATAGGCGAGATGGTATATCTTGGATCGTTCTCTTGATATTTTCCGATATTTGTGGTATGTGTATTGATATATGATTAAGGAAAACCTGCTGTTGTTATCTATCAATGGTACGTTATATCAGGGTCCTATTGCCGGAAAGTCTGTCATGATAATTGGTACGATTCCAAGTAGAGGTGATGTGCTGCACTAGTTTCAACACATTCTGAGCACATATTTTAATACCAGGACGAAGTGGCTGAGTAGGCCCGTTCTCAACGCCACATAATTGTGTTATCCTGCTTCGCCACTTCATCATGCCTCTTTTTGTATCCCTGTGCGTGGCTGCTACATCACAATTGCTCACGGTGTTGGATAGTTTCGCTTGCGCCTCCATCTTCTACACGAGTCGGAATGAATGTAGAACTCTCAGAATGTGTTTTCTGATGTTCAATGTTTGTAACCACTGGTCTGGATAGCTATCCAAATGAGGCTCTGTCTCCGGAAAAGAGATCCCGTGCTGGAACCAGTGCGTGGACGCAGAAGTCTGACTTCTGTTTACTCAGCCGTGAGGTTACCTTCCATGCAGTGCCTTTGCTTTTCCATAAAGGTCATTCTTCTCTTCCGTTTCAATATTGATTGGTGAACCGGCGGGTCAAGCTTTTTCAGTTCAGAGGACTATAGTTGTTCAACTGCGCTCACTGCTTGCTGACTCTCCCACAATGTTCCAAGAGAGTATCTTCTCAGCTGAGCAATTTGAGAGCTGTGATAGATTTATGAGATCTACAATACGCTGCCTCCTTGCGACTTGGAAAGAGGTACAACGCTCAGACTTAGCATGGGGATGATTTTTCGGTGCTTAGTCATAGCGGTTTCGAATTGCTTCTCTGAGTTGTCGAGGTCGGTATTCTCCATTTAATTTAACGCCAAAGGATTAATGTCAGCACTGGAATAACAAATGAATTGATGCGCCTGCACAAGGTTTCTAGCAGAATTGAGTTTTTATAGAGACCCTGCAACGTTTACACTACTTCATTTGTTTAGTATATTACTTCATAATCAGTGTGGTTTGATTCGGAGGACTGTTGAACCCAAGTAATTTGTAAGTTTTCATTGGGGTTCCATGAATGGTAATCTTTGGTTCTTATCAATTTCCAAATTTATAACTTGCATATGACCCGACTGTATTCACTTCTCCTGCATCTATCGCAAACCGAATTTTCATTTTAAGTCGTCAGTGATTCCTCCGTCAAGTCTTATTAGTTACCGCATATGACTCTCAGAGTCTGCAATAGAGCTTTAGGTCACCATGTAAGGAGAATGTGATGACCGAAGAAGAGTTGAGTCGCTTTTTAGACGATTGACAATAATTTAGATGAATTAAGTAGAGTAGACGAGTGAGATCAAGACTAACAGAACAATAGAAGGGCTAAACGAGTCACCATGGAAAAGTCCCCAGGCGGATGTGATATATTACTTGTGGACGGATTGTTTTTCCATAGAGAGATACAGTTTGATATCCATGGACTCATCGCATTTTCAGGAAGTTTTGCGAATAAACGGGTGGACCTTGTAACATTCCAGAACATGTAGAGCCAAAGAATGGGACGGTGTCGAATGCTTACGTAATCTATGTAGCATGGTGTACAAGTTTTCTTTGTTTTTTCAAGACTTTGCCCCATAATTTACAGAGTCTTAGATGAAATTGTTGCTCCTTGCTCCCTGAGATTTCAGGTCTACATCCTTTTCTGTTTCCATTTTGCTAAGATGTTCTGTTCTCAATGTGTGTATCATTTCATTTGCGGGAAAAACACAAATGTTATGAGTTTTGGTAGAAAG